ACACAAAGAATGTTTACAGATCTCAATTAACCGGTGAGCATCTTAAATCTCTTTTGATAATTGGTACAAGTAAAATTGATCCACAACTACAAAGTATTGTCGGTGGAAAATCACAATTACATAAATCTCATTAGTGTTTTTGTTTTACTGTGATTCATTTCCATTATTTGTTTGTTATCAATATGCTTAAACTTAGATACTTCAGTTAAGTTTTCTTTGTCATCATTTCTGTCGTTAAGTTTTACCTTGCAAGTGAATAAAACCGAGTAATTATCATTCTGTGTTTTCTTCTTCAACTTATCACAGCAATAGTGACAACAATTAGGTAATCATTGGCTGTCGCGGGCCAGATTGATGACAATAAATCATTGGCTGTCGCGGCCCGGATTGATGATAGTGGCGGGCCGTAGTTTGGAGACCCCTGCTCTATTCAGAAGATTGACACATTTTTCGTATGAAGGGAAGAAGTTCAAGAATACGAAATATGATTCATTTTCAACACTTAAATGAGAATATGATCCAAGAAAATGCTTGAACCTGTAATTTTTTTTCGAAGAGGTAGACCTTACACGAACAACTAGAGCAAATGTAATTTTTGAAGTTGAGGATAAGATAAGCTCAATTTAATATTTTCATGAAAGAATTATGAGCTAATTGTTTATTTTTAACTTCACCATTGGACAATTGATGTTCCAGATTTATGTGTATGATGTTTTCTTTGGGTTGTGATTTATTCAAACAACCTCAGTTCGAGATTCATGGATTTGGAGTTCTTGGCTATTCTGAAAATAATTTATTTGATCAAGTTTAATATTTGTTGAGGACTGAGTGACTTTCATATATTTTCAAGTATTCCAGTATTTTCATTAAACTATGATTTATATTTGAAACGGTAACCGAAATCCGTTTCCATAATCCACCCACGAATTGAGAAACTTTTATGTTGTGCACCAAACATATAGATTCGATTTCGTTTTCATTTACTCCCCATTCTTATACTTTCAAGGTCTTCATCAATTTCCTGAACTATGCTCATGAAGTCTTCAGAAGCCTAATGTGAATAGAATCCAATCTCACACATGCGAAACGAAGATAATATCACTGAAAATAAATTTCAGGATATAAACGCCTCCTATCTTGGGATTCCACAGTATTCATCGATCCAATTTCATTTTTGTATCCGATATTGGATTTCATGAAGTTTCGGAGTAGTCTGATGAAAAACTTTTGTTATTAAAGTTCACTTCTTCGAAAGGTGCTCAGTGAGACTTTCCCAAGATCGTATCAAACTTTTATTAACCATTCTTTATTTCTCTTTATATTTCTACAACCATTTTATTTATCGGGACTCATGAGGTTTTATTTATGGCTCATTCAACTAGCAAACTTTATCTATTATCATTATGTGTAGATGAATATTGAAGAACGAAAAACTTATACCCGCATCCATTGAAACTACTAGAAGAAGTAAAATATATGTAACTACGAATTGTTTCGATACGGTCAGGCCTGGATCTAGGGGGGGCAAGCCGGGGCCCATGAACCAGGCGGCAAGTTTAGACGGCGGCCAAATTCACACTTTACAGACGAATGTACAACTCATCATTTACTTAACTTTTTCCTACACTAGGCACGAACGTTATTATTAGCGAGGCGCGTCAATATAGTTCAAAATACCCGCCCGCTCGCCTGCAGGAATCGCGGCAGCACGCGTCTGGTTACCATGCGTGCGAAAGGGATGAGACTACAGGCTGATTCACGATGGATGGCACATTAGACGTTTCTGGTGAACCAGACAACGGATCACTTTGAAAATTTGATGGAGGGCATATTTGGACATTCTCTAGCTAACTAAAATATTTTCGACAATGCGGTGTTGCCGCTTCTATTAGAAAGCAATAGCAACTTTGATTTTTCAAATGGAACACTCTGTATATAATATTATT